ACCCCGCCCACCCCGCCCGCCCCCAAGCTGAGACATAGGGACAAACACAGACAGGCAGAGACAGAGATACGCCATATATGCAAACATTGTCAAGAAGATTATACTGTAGATGCACAGAGAAAGGATTCATATATACAGTCTGATAAAAGACTCCAGGGATGCTGCTGTTGTTTTTTTATCCCAAGTGGTCCCTCTAACCATGCATCATCAACCGTCCATTGGCGTCCTTGTACACGACTGGAAGTTTGCAGTTCAGTTTTTATTCTGTGCATTCAGTTTCCAACACTGTTCTTGGGGTCTGTTCACAGGGAGATGCAGGTGACGTGGCCTGGACTCAAGGAATTCTCAGGTGTCTCAAGTCGAACGTTTATTTCATTGGCACTTTTTGCACTTCTGTGGGTTCAGGGGGAGGGGTTGGGTTCGTGTCTTAGTAAAGGTCCTGCCACGTTCCTTCCCATTGTGTCAAGCAGCGTAAAACAATCCACCCACAAACAAATTAACAACAACAAAAAAAAATAGACAAAAAGAGAAACAAAAATACATTCAAGGCGAAAGAAAACAATTCTTCCTGGTGACAATATTGGGGCATTTCCTTTAAAGCAACAACACCTACTTTTTGCATTGTGTACACGCACTAGTACACACATTTAATGCATGTGAGGAACCCAACCAAATTTGGTGTTTACAAGGGCTGAGCAAAAAAAGAAAGAAATGAAAAACACTTCCGTATTTCACTGTACGTTCTCTGAGAGCTCTTAGAACTTGGATGCACGCAACACTCGCCGTTGCAGTTCATTCAATCCGTCAGCGAGTATTAAGGAAGTGTCGAAGACTTTTGTACTTCTCAAGTACAGGACAAGGGTTGGGTGCCACAACAGTCCACAAATCCGAGTCCATTTAGCAAGAAATGGCATGCATGCTATGCACCCCAGATATTGACAGAAAGTGGTGCAAAGCATACGCATCAAGAATGGCACAATCAGTGAGGTGGCCTTGGTGTTCCCACAAAGGACATGAAAGACAACGGGAGTGATATTGTTCAAGCCATCGTCTTTTGAAATTGTTTCCATCTGATTAGATTTCTAAGGCCGCATGGCTCTGGTTTCCCTCTAGCAGAGGTACGGATACTGTCCGGCTCTAGCACAGTCACTTGTAAAGAAGCTCCAAGTGGACATTGTTTGGGACCCTTATAGCAGAGGCCTTTCTTTGCCTATATACGAGCATGCCGGTGTGTGCAAGGAGAATGTGGGAATCACAGAAGCAACGACATGCTCACAAAAAAGGTGCAGTATCCCAGCCTGCACCACTGGTCAAAACAGGGTCCCAGATTCAGCACTGGCATCACTGATTGTTCTTTAACATTATCCTGGAGTGACGCCCACCCCAGCGTGTCAAGTTGCAAGGAACTGTGTATGTGTGTGCATTTGATTGATGAACAGTTGAGGAACAGCAGGGCACAGTCCAGCAGAACCTTCCAAGACGGACCATGTGTCAGCTGGGAAGCCTAATGTTGCTGGACAAGCGTTTTGCTGGGAGAGAGAGAGTGTGAGAGCGTGTGCATGTGCGTGTCGATGAAGAGGATGGAGATGAGTGGTGGACAAGGGTCGCAGGAAGGGGCGGCTCACAGGCCGTTGCTGCTGCGGTGCGTGAGCGGAGGTTTGGACAGTTCCACCACATTGGTTCGCCCCTTGCCGATGACTTTGGGGGCACGACGCAGCAGCTTCTGGGCCTCGGTGAATGCTTCGGTGAGCTCCTTCTTCCACTGTACGAACTCTGGGTCGCTCTGTAAGAAGAAAAATAACATTAGCAATTCATTCTCAGCTGCTTTATGATTTTTTTAACATATCAAGAACTTTTTAAATAGATAAAACCCTAGAGAGCTACCTAGACAGTGTTTTTAGGCAGTCTGGATGCAAAGGATTTTTAATGTTCTTTTGTGAATAAGGAAATACCAGACTGCATTCTGAAAGCCAGTAAAGGGAGATGTTAATTTTAAATGAAACTATGTTTTATTCAGTATACTTTATCAAGTATTGAAAAAAATTATTTGAACAAAAATTGCGCAATGTATTTTGCACCAGTATTTTGGTATGCTTTTGTGCCTGGATGTCAAACTGGATTGGAATCAATCGAGTTGGAGGCTTGTGTATTTAAAGGATTAGTTCAATCCAGAATAAAACTTTCCTGATAATTTACTCACCCCCCATGTCATCCAAGATGTTCATGTCTTTCTTCAGTCACAAAGAATTAAGGTTTTTGAGCAAAACATTCCAGGATTTTTCTCCGTATAATGGACTTCAATGGTGGCCAACGGGCTGAATGTCCAAATTGCAGTTTCAGTGCAGCTTTAAAGGGCTCTACACGATCCCAGCCGAGGAATAAGGGTCTTATCTAGCGAAACAATCGGTCATTTTCTAAAAAAATATAGCTCGACTTCACGCATTAAGTAATCACGTTGGAAAGGTCATGCATGACGTAGGCGGAAGTACCGACCCAGAGTTTACAAAGAGAACATGCAACGAAAGTCAAATGCTCTTTATGAAAAAAGGTAAAAACGATGTTGGACAATTTTGAAGTTGGAGGAGAAAATGAGATGGAGTTTTTCGCCCTACCCCACCTTTTTGAACCAGAGTACACAGATGCTAACCGTGCGTGACCTTTCCAACGTGATTGCGTAATGCATGAATTTGCAGACGCACATCGCGGAGCTAGTGCAAGATGAGCATTTGTGGTTAAATAGTATATAATTATTATTATTATTATTATTTTTTTTTAGAAAATGACCAATCGTTTTGCTAGATAAGACACTTATTCCTCGGCTGGGATCGTATAGAGCCCTTTGAAGCTGCAGTTTGGACCTTCAACCCGTTGGCCACCATTTAAGACCATTATATGGAGAAAAATCCTGGAATCTTTTCCTCAAAAACCTTACTTTATTTGTGACTGAAGACAGAAAGACATGAACATCTTGGATGACATGGGGGCTAGTAAATTATCAGGAAATTTTTATTCCGGAAGTGAACTACTAATCCTTTAATGTGAGAGATATTTGTATGGCATGAGCTGCCCATAAAAAGTGCATCAAATCAGCCCCTCATGAGGTTTAATTTCGGATCAATGTTCACTAAGGTCTGCAAATGCATGGACACGCACTTCTGATGCTGCTTCCTGCACAGATGGGAAAAATATTTCCCACAGAACACAGACTCAAAAAGATAAAGAACGTTTCCTAGAACAGAAGTTCATAGCAGCATATACAGAAGCCCTCATTACTTTTTCTGCACAATCCATCTTTTCTTGAATTATCTAGTCAATTAAATGTTTTAATATAATCATATAAGAGGCCAAGGAAGCAGTGCTTTACTTTTTCTGAAAAAGTAAAAAGTAACACAAGAGCAAAAGCGGAACAGAGAAACAAAGTTTGGGCAGTATCACCACAGGTATATATTGTGGTAATTATTTTTATTTATTTATTACTGCCTTATTTTTGTGATTGAAACCAAAGTTTTCTTTTCTTCTTTGAGAAAAACAAGGCCGTAAAATAACAGTAACATACACTAGGTAACATTTATTATTAATTGAATATTACTATTATTAAATCTCAATTAATTAAATATTATCATATATAAGCAGCCCATAAAGGCAGTGCTTCACTTTTTCTGCCTTCTTTTTGTGATTGAAACCAAAGTGTTATTTTTCCAAAGTGTTGACATAAAATAATAGTAACATACACTATGTAATATTTATTATGTGTATTATTATTCATTATTACATTTTATGTCATACATGACATTATTTAAAATCTAAATGTGATTTACTTAGTTAAATTTGACTTTTTTATTTATTTTTACATTTAGTTATTTATTCATTTTTAATAAGACAACTCAGTAGAGTTTGAAAAAGAGGATTGGGAACACTAAAAGTGAAGCAAGATAATACAAGAGCAAAAGGGGAAGAGAGAAACCCACGACAAGACGGTGAGAACAGCATGAAGGTGCCCTACCTCGCACTGCAGCACAAACTGTTTCCCTCCTTTGATCCTCAGCAGGATGCACTTTTTGTCCTTGATCTGCGTCTCCTCCACAGTCACGATCTGCTCCATGGTCAGCAGGTTTTGCTGGGGGGAGGAAAGACTAATTAGTGCGTCCCTGTAAGTCTTCTCACAGACTATCCTACTGTGTTCGTGAGGAATACGCTATGCTACCTGCTAGCTCTGGACGGGTGGGATTTTATCCAATGCTTGAGATATACACATCTAATGGTATCACTTACACTGATGTAGAAATTCTAGAGGTTGTCTGGGGCTACGAGGGAGCAAAGACACGGATGACAAGCTGTTCTTGTACTCAGTGAGTCAGTGGTGGTGCAACGAGCTGCAGACGTAGCATCTCATGTAACAGTCTGATCGCGGATAACTGATTCCCATCAAACTGAAGGATAATGGAAGTCGTTTCACTTCTGTACAAACATTTTTCCTCTAAATGACACGAACCACATTCAGACTGGTTTCTAAAGACCTTGATTTAAAGTAAGCTTCTGTGCGACAACTTAGACATATAGAACTGTAAAATCAAATAAATAATGAATGAATGAATGTCAGACTGGCTCTCCAACATTGAGAACACAGAACAACTGCAATGTAGTGAAGTTTAAGCATCACTGCTTGCAATCTGATTTGCAAGTGGCCTCCCTCTGTCCGTTTCCATGAATCTCCTCTCCAACATGTTCCACAGGAAGAGCATTTACCCTTCAGATCGAAGATTCAGGAACTCTGGGAGTTAAAAATGCAGGAAACTGGTGAAATCTGCACTTCTTTATCTTAGTTACAGATCAGGGCAGAAACACTCTGGCCCCAGGGAACCAGCAGTGACCTACTTCTGCATTAGAAAGACCTGAGCGCAAACGCAATCGCTTCCTCCGGATGGGAAAAGACTGAGGTTTGGTTTAGCGGTGGAAAGAAGCAATGTATATTAAAAGGAGAGGTGGGTGTCTCAGTGGTTCAGGCTGCAGGTGAACCTGCGTCACTATGGGAATTTCGGAGCAGGATGGATTAAGACTTAGGGCGTATGCTAATATCTAAAGGGATGTGTTCCCTCCTCTCCTTCTCCTTACAATATTTATCAAAATCTTGACAATTCCTGTTCTGCAATGGACAATGAAACTTAAAGCAGAGGGGGAATCAGATAAAATGTACCAGACTCACCTTGAATTTACGTTTTTTTAATGTTTTAGTCCAATGTTCCTACAGCGTAGGGACACACAGGCATGTTCTCTCAAAAAATGGTCTTTTAACCCTTTATACGAATGCTAACAGCAAACAAAACACACAAAAACACTTACCCGAGACTCTCCTTCGCCTCTCCACTCCACACGGTTGGGGAACAGGTAGAAATACCGCCGCTGCCACTGTGTCAGGAAGGGGTTTCCTAGCTTTAGCATGTAGCCGTGCATGATACAGTCCTTCCCCAGCGCATAGTCTGCACAAACCCCACACAGACACTCGCAATCACATAATGCTCAAATGTTGGATGCTCAACATCATGTTGGAAAAATTGCATTTACCTAAATTTGGGTATTTTTGGGACATTCTCATTCATATTTATTATATTTTTTTGAGAAGATAGTCACATTTGGAAAGACATGAGACTGAATAAATGGCCATTTTTGGGTCATCTATTCCTTTTAACTCCCACTGAGGTTTAACCCACTCGAATTCCTGCTCACGATTCCTGTGCTTGTGTCTTGGGGTTGTGACGCACACGATTAACTCAGTGTTTGATAAATTACACGGGCTCTTTCAGATCTATTTCTGACCATCACACAGTCAGTCATGTGATGGGTTCCATGTCTTTCCCTTGAGGGAAGCATGTGGCACCAGCACTGCATGACAAGTACGTAGGGTTCAAGCCTCTCCCCAAGGTCACTGACAGAACTGATGCTGGACCCATGAAAGTTGATTAGCTGACGTCAGTCTGGGCCTTTAATTCATGCTGGAGAATGTAGCACTACCGTAGCAGAGGCCATTTTCTTCTCTCGACACCACTGTGTGAAATTAGTGCTTGTCAATTCTGTAGACGGCTTATGATTTTACGCAAACTGGAGTTTCCACCAGAAAACATTATCTTTTGGTCCGGCTTAAAACCTGGGTAAATGACCGAGTGCCGCAGACGATGTGACGCCTGGAGCGGCCGTTCATTAGGTTCATGACTCTCTGGAAGTCTAAAATACAGGACACGCCCAAGCAACCCGCTACAGTTCTCAGAAGTCAGAAAATGAGAGTCTGCTGAATAAGAGCAAACAGGATGTTTACAAACAGCATTTTGCAACCAGCCGTTCTGTGTACATTGCCATGACACCTCTCACTAGTAAAAAACGTAGTGTACATGAAAAGATTTCTCCAAGAAATATAAACTTCTAAATATCTATTTACTGCACAGGAAGCTCTGGAATACATATATGTTAGTTTATAAGTGGACGAATTTCACAAAGCAATATGAAGGCTATATTTCAAGATTCAAAACCAAATAATTAACTATAGATATAAAAATTATAAAACATATGTAAAAAAAAAATATTACATTTACACTACCATTTAAAGTTTGGGGTAAGAAAGTATTTGTTTAAATAAATACTTTTAAATTCATTCTAAATTGATTAAAAGTAACAGTAAAGACATTTATAATGATACAAAAGATTTTTATTTCAAATAAATACTGTTCTTTTGAACTTTCTATTTAAAGAATCCTGGAAAAAATTAGCATATTATAAAGATTTCTGAAGGATCACGTGACACTGAAAACTGGAGTAATGATGCTATCGCAGGAAGAAATTATGCTTTAAAATATATCAAAATAGAAAACTTTAAATTAAATTTTTTTTTAAATGCAATAATATTTCACAATATTACTTTTTTTTTTTTTTTTTACTATTTTTGATCCAATAAATGCAGCCTTGATGAGCATAAGAGACTTTAAAAAACATTAAATCATATTTACCCTAAACTTTTGAATGACAGTATATATTATTTTAAAAACATAAATATTATATAAATACATGAAATCTAAAATAATTTTTGAATAATAAGCCATAATACATGAATGAGAATTTGAGAGGGAAATGTGCAGAAAATAAATAAATGCAACAATAAAACTAAGGTGCTGTGTCTCACCCTCTTCGTGTCCCTGCTGCTTGTTTTTAGCCCGCTTGCGCGCCTCATTCTTATCTGTGTCGCTGTTGACGGCATCATACACCGTCTCGGCCACCTCCTGCTGCCAGCGCTCGGAGATCACCAGCGGAAAGTTCTTATAGAGCTCCTGATCACTGTCAAGCAGCTGAGAGAGAGACACAAAGACAATTACTTTCAATTCAGACAGTCTCTTCATGTCTAAATAGGCAGTCTTGGAGAGAATAAGTTGCAACGTAGACCAGACTTTGTGCTTGAAGTGAAATTCTGGCTACAAGGGAGTCATTTAAAATGCTCACAGCATAGTGGAAAAATTCCTCCAGATTTCAAAGCATGAAACACAAGCTCTAGTGCTCTTAGATTTTATACGGTTCTCTCAGTGCTGGACACAATCTTGGCTCCACTTGAAAAACTACCAAGTAGTCCACTTTGATGGTCACTTAGCTGAAGCAAAGACATCAGCATTGAGCACCAAGTGGAATAAGTGAAAAGTTACACGGTTACTGGTTTTACCTTAATTCCCTTGGTGTCCTCCTCATCGAAGGAGCCGATGTCAAAGGCGTCCGCAGCGTTGACTTCTCCTCTGGGGGGAATGAGAGGTGGGGGGTACTGCAACCAAACAGAAGATGCAGAGAATATCACACAAATACTTAGAGAAACAATTATGGGAGGGATTAGTTTTAAATATTTGCAGAATTAAAGCTCATGTACATCAGGAACCAATCAGATGTGTTTTTTGGTCATATATCGATGTTTAAAACAGCCATTCAACAGCGTGCAACAGTGCCTGACCACTTTTTCAGCAATGTTTCATTCACTCTTCCCATAAGGATTTTAAACAGTGGCTTTAATAAAGCATTATAAATCATGAACCAATTGACCCAGCTTCAAAGTGAATCACAACATTACAAACTTTGATTAAAAAAAAAAAAAAAAAAGATTTTGAAAATCAGACAAAAGGACTGCGTACGTAACTGCTTTAGTGAGGGAAAGAACTACATTCCCATGGAGCATTTGTGAATGACATTAATCGAATTAAAAATGATGAACAGTTCTAAAACTATTCATTTAAAGCTGACTATATACCTAGAAATATAGTCTACCTACTCTAACTCGATTACGTAATTCGTGGTGCTTCATGGGTGTTCCCTGCAAGCTCTTTTGGCGCAATTTGTGACTTTCTGATTGGTGAAATTTTCAGTATAGCAACACGGGTAATGTAGTTTTTCACCACAAACTCAGTTGTTAAACAATAATTTTAGAAATATATTGAAATAATGTGAATGGACGGCTTCAACAAAAGCATATACCATCGAATAACAACCTCTGAACTCATGGTAGGTCTGTCTTCATAGGTTTATAAGTTTTCATTAAAAATCAATTCCCCCATGGATAAAATGAATGGAGCTTTTACTTGCGGAACCTGACTGTTGCACTCCATAGGCTCAGTGATTATGACCTTTTATTTCAGAAAACTATGATAGTCCTCATAACACAGAGATCAAAAGATTGTGCGCACTAACAGGAACATTGCTCACAGAAAGTGATATGAGGTCACACAGTAATTGACTTATGAAAATGTATCATTGAAGGCTTGGCTTTGTGCTTTGATGGCGGTTCCGATGGTTCCGATTTTAGTATGCTAACAGCCACGGTCAGCACTCTAAAACACTCTGCGATAACGTTAATCTAAATTCATTCCTTTTAAAGCAGCACCACTAAAAATGAAAAAGAAAAAAATCTGAGGCTTGCTAATTGATTTTTGGATGACTAGTCAATCATCTGGACTCTAAATCAGATCAGTTATAAATTGCAATTACACAAAACCTCTTATTTAATCAGAATGTACGATATGAGGACTTCAACAGAGCTTCTTATTAGGGCTGATACCAAAAACAATGTTGAAGGTCTCACCTTCTGAAGATAGACCTGCTGCCAATCGATTCCCTTGAAGAACAAATGCTCCTTTACCTCTGACGCCCTACATTGTGTACAAGAGATCACACTGAAGTCAAATACATTTGTAAAGTGCTTTTCACTCTACACATTGTTCCACAGCAGCTTTACAGAAAATCATGACGTTAATGTTGTCTTATAGTTGCATTTAGCAGATTAGAGCTGGGAATTAATATAGTTTACGTGCTGCGACAATATAAACAATCACACAGTTGAGATTTGCTAGATAGTATATTTCACTTTAAATGAGTATATTGTATGTATGCCGATAAATCTGGACATATAAATAAAACTTTAGTTAAAGAGCTGGGCGTTAATATAGTTATATTTTGCAACAAAATAAAAATCAGTTGAGATTTGCTATATAGATATAGCTATATATTGCTTTGCATGAGTATACTGTATGTATGCAGGTAAAATAGGATGTCTATCAACCATCACCACTTCTGACCAGCAGGTGTCAGCAATTCAGAACGAGCTACAAATAATTCCCAGCATGCCCTTCTGTCTTTTATAAGTCTAAATGCTTTCAGACAATTGCTTCATTTGGACATCAAACTGTTTTTTTTTCTTTCATTTATATTATTTACTACAAACCAAACACACATCCGATAAAATGTCTAAGTATTACAGATATCTAGATGTCTAATCTTCAAGACGGAGGACATCTGAATTACCCCCGTCCCAGACACCCCAATCTTTTGGCGACGTCTCGCTGTAAGAGTCCTTCCAAGAGGGACTTGAGCTCAGGTGAGAAGGAGTCAGGCAACTCCACATTCTGATGAAAGAGAAAGAACAGGAAGAAGCTCATGAGTTGGATTGACATCTCGTTAAACAAGACTTCATGCCGTGTTGGCTGGTGTTTGACTTTCACGAGATGTTTACTTTTGTTTCATTAGCTTTCCTCATCAGTTACACTGAACATTCATTAGTAAAATGCAAATACGTAAACTTTCCAGTAGCCGTCTAGATCAACAGAGCATTAACAGTACAGAGTGCTTAACGGTATTTAAATATCCTCACAATCATACAAATGAATGCGAGGACAACCAAAACAATTCTCTTACATAACAGGCAGTGCCAACTGCACATTGAAATCAAGGTCAACGTTCACCAAAGTCACAGTAAATGCAGACAAACAAACTTCACTCAATTCAAGCTATCAGGTACAGTAACTGTAACACTGAACTAAATAACAGGGCATTGCATTATAGATGCTATGGTTTTCTGAGTAGTAGCTTGTTGCTATGTACTTGCTAGTGTGTTTGAGTCAAAAGAGCCCAGCTTCAAGTCTCAACAATATTCTGGTCTTGGGTTCCTCATTCAATGCAAAGTCTATGGGATTTCCCCCCCTACCTGTTTCAAAAGGGCCACTATATACAGTACTGTTCAAAAGTTTGGGGTCAGTAAGATTGATTTTTAAAAAAGAAAAGAAATTTAGACTTATAGACAGGAAGGACACATACAACTGACCAAAAAAGACAGTAAAGACATTTAAAATGTTACACAAAATTTCTATTTGAAATAAATGCTACAAGAACCCTGAAAAAAAAATGGTTTCCACAAAAAGCACAACTATTTTTGACATTGATAATAAGAAAAGTTACTAGAGCAGCAAATCAGCATATTAGAATGATTTCTGAAGGATCATGTGGCACTGAAGACTGGAGTAGTTCTGCTGAAAATTCAGCTTTATCATCACAAAAATAAATGATTTAAAAATATATTCAAGTAGAAAAGTTATTTTAAATTGTAATAATATTTCACAATATACGTGTTCTTACTGTATTTTTATCAAATAAATGCAGCCTTGGTGAGCAGAAGAGACTTCTTTCAAAAACCTTAGCAACTTTAAACCTTTGAATGGTAGTGTGCGTCCGCCAATGAACCTCTGTGGAGTCATGATTGAGTTTTACAGTCCAATCTTAACTAAATCTGATCAGACTATAAAACAGCTTATTTTACAAGACAGCTTTTAAATCCCTGACTAATGAAATCTGGAGATAATTTTCCCAGTGAGGTCAGCATCCTAAAACAAACCTTAATAGCTAAATTATTGTGTCAGGACTGCTCTGTGTCCACTGGAATAGCTTTTATTTCACCAGAGGAAAAAAACAAACAAAATGATTTACTGCTGGAAATTATAAAGACCACTGAACATTGTGACAGCACTGTCAGTCTTGGCCTATGATCTATGTGTTCCAGTTTCCAAATAAAACACGATCATCTTGCTTGTCAGAGGAAAACTGTTAAACTTCTCTGCAGGAGAACAACTGCTTAGACACAGAAGAGCTTTTTCTGCTGATTTCTGAATAGATTTTTTACAAGTCCTAAGCTCTAAGTCCTAATGACCGATTTGAATCGTTCCTCACAGGCAGCAAAATAAAGTCTGATATGTCTCTAAACAAGCCATTTGATACTCCGACTACTTGAATTAAAAAAATACATTTATAATTTACATTTGCATTGAGTTCATCCATTAAGTTGCACAATGTATTTTGGGACTGCTTTCAAAACAAGATGTCTCAGAAAGTAGCATAATTTTGCTTTGGGATCACTGACGCTTAAGTAGACAGCTCACTTGTGTCTTCATTTTGAAGGAAAACCACAAAATCAGCATTAAAGTGACTTCCTTTCTAGTGACTGTACAACAGCCAAGAGCGTGGCAGCTCGATGAGGACTAAATTACTGTGATGGTGAGAGGACGACAGTAAATGCAAAGCGTGGATGCAAATTCCTCTCCATTAGCATTCCCTTGTTAAACATAGTGGGTGTGAAGGCACAGGTGCTCCTGTGATGAAATGTTCCCTCTTCACTTCCATGGAAAGCTGTGGCTCGTTTACCCAACTCCTGTTTCACAGCAATATCAGTCAATCAGCATAAGGGAGCTCTTTCTAGTTTGAACTGATCGAACTTTTACAGCATTTGTAGATAAGATTCAATTGAAGTCTTTACAGCTATAACTAAGAACTGGGTGGTTGCTAAGATGTTCTTGGTAGGTGCTGGCCTAATCTATTCAATGGGTATTTTCTGCCCATTTTATCATACATCAAGAAACTTAACCCTCTGGGGTCTGAGGGAGTTTTGGGGCCCTGGAGAGGTTTTGACATGCCCTGACATTTGTGCTTTTTTCAGTATCTTAAAAACATATGGCTAAAGTTCGATTACACTGTATTCAGCACAAACTGTTCTGCAATAATATGTAAGCAATATGAAATGTACATGTTTGTGTTTTTGAGAAAACAACGTTTATGCGTTAGTGGAAAAATTATTTTTTTAAGTCACTGAAATAAAGCCATAAAACACATACAGAACATTTGTCCACAAGACTTTTGAGAACTGGATGTGGTAGACTGGAGTTATTGCTATAAAATAATGTGAAAATCATCCTGCCCACTCATTCACAGAAAACAATATATTGATTTAACTTTTGTAAGACATGTTTTGTGTCAGAAAGGCCGTATGTGAGGGAGTGACAATGGCCATGAATATTTAGTGATTCACACCTGAGAGACAAAGGCCCCTCCCCTAATGGGCCATCAGTGTGACTGTGAGGCAGGTAAGAAAGAATGTGAGGAGACTAATATAATAGGGGTTTTGATTATTTGTATTTTATTTACAACATAATATGATCAAAATATACACAGTGAAGGTCAAAGACACATTATTGAGCACACTGATCTAAACACCTGAGAGACAAAGGCCCCTCCCCTAATGGGCCATCAGTGTGACTTTGAGGCAGGTAAGAAAGAATGTGAGGAGACTAATATAATGGGGGTTTTGATTATTTGTATTTTATTTACAACATAATATGATCAAAATATACACAGTGAAGGTCAAAGACACATTATTGAGCACACTGATCTAAACACAGTGACTTGAACAGTCACACACCTTTGTGCCATTCTTGAAAACAGATCTTATTCAACTGTTGAAACATGTAAACCATACCTGGTATTTCCAAGGTGTTTGCTGCTTCTTTCCACGGATTCAAGAAAAAAACAGCCCCATCATCAGTAGTCATGGAGCTTATTTACCATATTTGTAAAGAATATCAGCCCAGTGTAGTTGAACAGCTTCTGATGTTGATACAGCACTCTCAGAGGAAAACAGTTTGAAGTGAAGTCTTCAAGTTATCTGGTCACCAAAAAAAAGCAAAAACAAACCGTCTATTAGCTTGTTGATATCAGGAGCAACTATATTATTACATTAGCAATCACTAATATTGCCCACTCATAAGTCCTAAAAAAACATGATTTTGTAGTCATAAACACAAGCACACTTTGTATGCATTATACAATACAAAGACATTTTATGTCTGAGAAACTACAGGTGCATCTCAAATTAGAATGTCGTGGAAAAGTTCATTTATTTCAGTAATTCAACTCAAATTGTGAAACTTGTGTATTAAATAAATTCAATGCACACAGACTGAAGTAGTTTAAGTCTTTGGTTCTTTTAATTGTGATGATTTTGGCTCACATTTAACAAAAACCCACCAATTCACTATCTCAACAAATTAGAATACTTCAGAAGACCAATAAAAAAAACATTTTTAGTGAATTGTTGGCCTTCTGGAAAGTATGTTCATTTACTGTACATGTACTCAATACTTGGCAGGGGCTCCTTTTGCTTTAATTACTGCCCCAATTCGGCGTGGCATGGAGGTGATCAGTTGTGTCTCTTGTTTCTCATTTTCCTCTTGACAATACCCCATAGATTCTCTATGGGGTTCAGGTCTGGTGAGTTTGCTGGCCAGTCAAGCACACCAACACCATGGTCATTTAAACAACTTTTGGTGCTTTTGGCAGTGTGGCAGGTGCCAAATCCTGCTGGAAAATGAAATCAGCATCTTCAAAAAGCTGGTCAGCAGAAGGAAGCATGAAGTGCTCCAAAAGTTATTGGTAAACGGGTGCAGTGACGTTGGTTTTCAAAAAACACAATGGACCAACACCAGCAGATGACATTGCACCCCAAATCATCACAGACTGTGGAAACTTAACACTGGACTTCAAGCAACTTGGGCTATGAGCTTCTCCAACGACATTCTAATTTATTGAGATGCACCTGTAAATTATTATTAAGCACGTTATAAACATCGACATACATTTGCAAACAGAGTATTTCAAAGTAAAGATTGGTCTAAACATTCTTAGACTCTAAGGTGGCTTTCACACTGGGCTCGTTTGATGTGGTTTGAACCAGAGTGCGATTGTTCCCGGCACCCCCCCGCAGCGTTGGTCTGGTTTCACACTCTTGATACTGTCTTATTATGTGTGTTTGCGTTTACCTTACATCATCACAAACGTGCACAACATATGATAGAAAACAGAACTTGGGTCAATATATTGTTTTTTAATTAATTTGGAGCTATTATGTGCAGCAGAGTAAACGGCATATGGGTTTACTGTATGTGCATCGCATGTATACCGCTATTTTGAGGAGGTAGCGGATTACCATTCATTTGCCGCTCTGATTGCAGTTGCTACACGCGAACAGGCTCACTCGCGCTCGAATCCAAGGTAAATCAGCAACACTATCCTCACTTATATGTGTTTTATTGAAGAAAATACATTGTAATCTGCTAAAACGTATGCGCAGGTTACTTTATTTCCTGAACAAGTGCGCACCAGAGTCCGTGTTGCTTTCATATTCACGCGAACCTCGCCACGGTTCGAGTGCAATCGAACTCAGACCACCTCCTTCAGGTAGTCTCGGGTTCAGTACCCCGGTGCACACCCACGTTCGCATGACAGCTTTCACACTAGCCAAACGTACCGAACTCTGACGCCAATTGAACCCGGGTGCGCACCAAACGTGCTAGTGTGAAAGTACCCTAACATTCATAGTGTTACAGTGTAAACACTCATATTAATTTTATATCAATATTGTTTTACATTTGATAGAACATTAAAAACACATCCTGGATCGTGAGAATTTTAGATGCAATGAAATGAAACATTTCAAAATGTTTCACTTGATTTCATACATTTAGTCAGTAATTACAGTTTGGGTAAAGCAAAATGTGTACAGGTTATGTCTCAATAACACAATAACAACTAATGCAAGTAATAAAACATGACTTACTCATCAGAAATTATCTCCTCCGCTGCTCAAGCCACACGTCGCATCGCCGCCGCCTTCTGAGGTAAATTCTGGCTTATTCCTCTCAGCGCGTCTTCTTCCAGAAACAAAGTATCCTAGATGAACTTGATGAATCTTCATGCTTTGTTTACAGAGGTGATGTGGGCGTTTACAGGTTCGCATGTCTCACGTGGATGATTACCGTATGAATGGCGCGTGCTGCACGTGGGCATGATCACATTACAGATAATGAGCTCAGACGGGAAAGACTGGACCTCGCGTTTGTTTCATACGGATTACTTTATCAGAGAACATTTGTTTTTGACATTACTTCATTTAAAAGTAGACAAGACCGTAGCCAGCTATGAGGTCACCGATATACGAGTAATTTGCCGTTTAAACCTCCTCATGTGAGTGTCTGCATGTATATGTTTAGACAGTTTGCAACAATGTTTAGTGTCCGTGGTATGAAAATGATCGCTGCGAGATGCTGGCGGAGTGAACGAGGCGTGAGAGAGTTGTGAGTGAGGGTGCGGGGGCGGGCGGAGCCTCTGTCGTGTTGCCAGATCCAGCTATTATAAGCGTATTTGGATTTGTCTTTTCCCACTTAATTTGACACTTTAGAAAGTTAATAAAGTGGGAAGTTGCAGTTTAGGGTTAGCAACATCTTTATCTTATCTTATTTGCAAAAGATTTGAACAAATTTTTATTTATTTTGAGGTTTTTATTTGTTTTCATAGCAATATCTGGCAACACTGTTTGCTGGCGCGTGAATTGACAGTAATCAAAAAAGCCCACGGACAGGTTATTGCTGACAGGATACCACATTTGGTAAGTCAAATGCAAAAATCATCATGATATTATCTGTCAGAAACGTTATCAATGCTATTAAAAACAGTAGCATTTTAACACTAGTACACAGATCTGTAGAACAAGTAGGTTACAGAATGAAATATGCAAACACTAGCCATGAAGAAGTCTATGCTATTTCATTCAGTATCCACCTTATTCTTCCCGTAAGAGTGGGTATGGCCATTTGTAATTTTTATGGGTCTGGCTTCCGGTCTCATCCACGTCCAGCTATTTTTAGCTGTACAAAGCAGCTCGTTTTGCTGCTTGACATTACAAATTCGTGTGTCTAACCATATTATTTTAATGTATTATCCTTATTATGTACACACTGGTTTGTGGTGCAAACAGTTTTACCGTTTACTGCATGTTGTTATTCTTCTCGTTATTTCCCTAAAGCGGCTAATGAACCGGAAGTCTTGCCCATAGGCTTACTTCCGCGTTGAAGAATAAGGTGGATAGTAGTTACATTTTCACAAAGTCATGCTAAAAACACTCATAAGAGCACTAGACAGTTATCATTTATATAGCAATGGTTATTAATGAAAACTATAACAGTAATATGTATTGTTGCATAAATAATAAACAACTGATAAAATTATCCACCCCTAACCTATAGTAAAGTATTAACACATTTTGATGCAATAAATATGATATAATTTAACAATGTTCATCCCTCCAAAACAGAAAACATCTTTCACAAACATCTACATGTCGGTCTCTTTTAAAGTGTTTAGTGTATACAATGAGTTGTATTTGTAGGGGTTATTAAAGTACAACTCTTAACCCTACCCCAGACTTCAGTAATTTTCAAACCCTGGTTACGGCCAAGTGTCTGTGTGTCAAGTATTCACTGAGTTTTGGTTCATTTTTGTGACACGTTTCAGAAAGTAGTTCACAGAGACCGAGATGGCAGAAAGCGCACCCTGTTTGTTTTCTTAATTTTACAAAAGCACAGCGTTTTGTTGTTATTATGAGTGTATAGAAAAGTAGCCCCTTACAGATTCAAATGCCATATTGCTCTTATCTGTACGATCAAAAATGACAGAGTAATTTAACTTCTTTTCGGAATCATCAGGAAAAAATGCCACAAAACCAGAGGGTTAAATCAGAGCACTCTTATATATATGTGATTATGTGTGAAGATACATAAAGAGAAACAACCGCTTTGGTTTCTTACCATGGTAAGGGTCATGCGGTCAATCTCATGTTTGTCTTTGGTCTTGTGCTGTCTGAATGGGCTGTGCCTGCAAGAACAGAAGAAACAGTTCATGTAACTGAACACAGTGCTTAGCCTTGCGAAAGTCATACAGAGGACACACGTAGTGATTTAGCAGTGACGTGTAGTCAGGAGGGGCGTTTCCATGAGAGTTCAAAAATGTTTCAATCTCAGTCGTTGATCGTGAGACATAAGCATCTTACTGTCTTATCTTTTTGGTGCAAAGCAGCAATTGAGATGGATCAGCATCCATTGAAAGGCTAACTGCCAGTTTTATTGTTACACTAAAACTATTAAAATAGTTTTTGTTAATTTAAATAATTTAATATGAATATGTTAATATGAAATTAAATAGAAATATTACAGGAAAAAAAAAAGAAAAAAAAAAAGAAATGTTGCTTTGACAACTAACTGAAAAAAAGTTTAAATACTAAAATAGAAGAATAGAATAAAATAGAAATATAAAAAAAAATGACAAAAGTACATAAAATTACCTAAAATAACGAAAGTAAAATTAAAATTACTAAAATATAAAAGCTACTTCAAAATATTAATAAATACTTTAATAGCATAGAAATAATACTAAAATAGCACTGCTTACTACACAGTATATACTGTATAAAAAAAAAAGAAAAAAAAGTGAGTGACGTGACATGTGGCCAAGTATGGTGACCCATACTCGGAATTAGTGCTCTGCATTTACCCATCCAAAGTGCACACACACAGCAGTGAACACACACACACCGTGAACACACACCCGGAGCAGTGGGCAACCATTTATGCTGCGGCGCCCGGGGAGCAGTTGGGGGTTCGGTGCCTTGCTCAAGGGCACCTCAGTCGTGGTATTGAAGGTGGGAGAGAGCGCTGTACATTCACTCCCCCCACCTACAATCCCTGCCGGTACGAGACTCGAACCCACAACCTTTGGGTTATGAGTCCGACTCTCTAACCATTAGGCCACAACTTCCCCTTGATAAGTATCTGTACACTACCTACTATTCTATATAATAACAGCATGTATATTACATGATCATATGATTACTGGCACTGACCGACAACAATGTTTGCTTGGCAAACATTGAAAATTAAACAAACAAAATTTAACATAATGACATTATTTATTTATAAGATATTATAAATAATCATTAAAATATATTCATATTTACTCACACATTTATATTAATTTATAAATCACCACACATACATTACATATAGAAATGTACAAATCATCATTAAAATGATATGCGTTTATAAAAAATTATCATTAAAATTATATATTTACTTTATATACAGTGCACAGCATAAATGAGTACACCCCCTCTGAAACTTAACAAATTCAGCAATTACTCTTTGCTTAGAAGACATGTTGTGGTTTTTTAGAGCTATAATATTCCAGCAAGTCTACTTGATCAGTTACTAAAGAAGAATTTTAAAATTATTCAAGAAAATGCCATTTTCTTATCAAAGTGATAAAATGTTGTGTTGCAAAAATGAGTACACCCTCCTGAAAGTTACAAAAAAAAAAAAAAAAAAAAAATTCTGGTGTAAGGTTAAGGCAAGTATTGATCAACAGGTAAGTATGGAAGACCAATGGTTCATTTGAATAAAACTCAAACAAAATGAAGTTGTTACATTTTTTTTTTTTTACAGATGTTACTGTTTTTGATGATGAATATAAATTTACATCTGCATCCTTATTCAAGGTACTACTAGCTGCTGTCAAATGTGCATAAGAGACCAAAAAAAAGTAGTATTATTAATATTGCAGCCTGCACTGCAAACATTACTGAAGATTCGTGTCATCAAAGTCAGGAACACAAACCTGTCTCATGATTTGAAACAATAATCACTAATTAGAACATGCAGAAACAAAGAAATTAAATTTTCTATGCTGACAACAATGAAACCACTTGAGAGAGAACTGTCAGGAGATTTATTTCTTAGCATAAAAGAGGACAATGGTACAAGAGGAATACCAAATTATTGTTTTAATGAGACCAATTCAATCATTTCGGATCTAACAGCATCCAAAATGTTCTGGTGTTGCTAGAGGAGGAGTACAGAGAGAAGTGCCTGGTTCCCACAGTGGCATTCAGTGGTAGTAAAGCTCTTCTATAGGGATGCATGAGTGCTGAAGGTTGTACTTTATCAACGCTGTCATGAATTCACACACGACTGTGTGATGTAATACAAAAACCTGAAACTGAAGATGCTACCCTCTTCTGATTCCCTGCATTGTTGGGCGAGACGAGCTGAGCAACACTCCCCATTAAAGACCAGGGCATTTAAGGAGGTCGTCGTCCAGCAGTTAAACAGCACAGATGTGAAAATTTGTCATGAACTTGTACACTCAGTGCCAAGAAGTGTCAGGACATATTAAGTTCTAGAATATCACACTTGGTTGAATTAAATCTAGGTTGTAATCAATTCTACAATCCTTCATTTAAACAAAAATTTAAATTTGGAATAAATTTTTTTTATTAAGAATATGTTTAATACATTTCAATTTTGCCATCTTTCTATGAATTATATTAGTGATCATTAAGAAAATACATCTTTTATATTTAATCAGACGGGGTGTACTCATTTATGCTGTGCACTGTATAATTTAATGTTTATTCTGCTTTGATTGTACAGTGCATAGCATTGACTGTAGTCCAGGGCCTAAATATCATATCGATGACAAACTGACTCGCTTTGAAAGAGACGGCACCCCTGCCTATTCCATACATGGCAGGATGGAAAGTCAAGGTAAGTTGGTTATTTCGAAGTGGCACTCTGTTGAAACGGTTCCTTATTTACTGGTCGATCAAACTACTTCATGTCGTTTACAAATATAGAGCGTGTTTCTGGGCCTGTTCTGACCTGCTTCCATTCTGCTTTGAAGAGCGTATGACACACTTCAGTGGAAAGACATGCCCCAGACTCCTCCCCCCATTACATCTTCCTCACACCCCCCACTCTCTACCTAGCAACCGTTTCAGTGGTCTCCACCCCAGTCTCTGTGTCTTTCTTCTCTATGATGGCTGCTCCTGACCTCCTACTTCCAAACCCATGACATTTAAACTTAACACTCCACATCAAACAGGTGAGAAACACAGACAGAGACTAAAAGAGAGAGACAAATAAAGAATTCATGAGCGGGCCGCTGCAGAGGGCAGTCTTACCCTCGCAAGAGTTTGAACAGCATGCAGCCCAGAGAGAACCAGTCGGCGCTGCTGTCGTACGCTGTTCCTTTTTGCAGAACCTCAGGTGCCATGTAGCCATGAGTACCTCTGCAAACATAGCAATTAATGCACATTAAATTCAAAGCGTACACACAAACCCCCCAGGCTGAGCACACACTGACTGTAAACACAACAAAGCTCATTCTCATACATAACACAAACAGTCAAAGAACTGCTACATTACACATAAAAGGTTTTCCATCCTCTCTCGGACCCTTTGAATTTACCAGGATGTTTTTGCTACTGTGCCTTTAAGATTGTACTGTCCATATTTAAGAGAGAACTTTTTATAAATAAAACTGTCCAGGCCCTTTGAATGTGAAATGAGCATTGAATTGGTGCTGACATGTAAACAAGAGGGTCATATGTTAAAATTGTCACAGCTATGATGTCATATCCACAACAATTTTATTTGTACAACTTACTTTCAATGCATGAGAGACAGAGCTTTGCTTTGAAAACATCAGTTTGTCTGCTTATTACACCACCATTTAAAAGTTTGGGGACAGTAGGATTTCTTTTTTTGAAAGAAATTAATATTTTTTATTCAGCAGGGACATATTAAATTCATTAAAAAAAATTAAAGCCATTTATAATATTGCAAAATTTATATTTTAAACAAATGAAAATTTGTTTAAAATATAAAAATATCAGTTTAAGCAGCAAAAACTGTTTTCAACATTGATAATAATAAATGCTTTGTGAGCATCAAATCAGCATATTAGAATGATTTCTAAAGGATCACGGGACACTGAAAATTCAGCTTTGTCACCACAGGAATAAAGTACTTTTTAATATATATTAAAATATAAGTTAATTTAAATTGTAATAATATTTCACAATATTACTGTTTTTACTGTATTTTTGGTTAAATAAATGCAGCCTTTGTGAACTTTTGAACCATAGTGTACACTAATTCATTTCAAAATAAAAATCTTAATTGTCCCCTTCAAATGTAAAATGTTTCTAACAAACAAATTCATTGCAAAATAAAGAGATTCATCAAAACAATTCAGATAAAAGGACACTGAAATAACTCTAGCCAAAACATTCTGCATGCAAATATGTGAGCGCAAACATTGCATACAAGTATAACGTGACTGCTTGCAAGCAATTCGTTAGTGAAAAAAATCTGTATACATGCACAGAGAAAACAGATTAGACTGCAGTATAAAAAACTGCAATATGCATGAGTATGAGACAACAAAGAGCATGTGTATGCTCAAAGAAACATAGTCAGAGAACAGAAGCAACCACACCTTCCCCAAACAACAGGCACTTTTATTTTACACTAATAAAAGATGAGTTTTGAATACTCATGAAGAGGAACTTACACACTGGCGTGAGGTTTCTTCTTGGAGAAATCACAGGCCAGGCCCAGGTCAGAGATGCGAACGTGTCCGTGTTCATCTAAGAGGATATTTGCAGGCTGTGGGGAACAGAAAGTGATCCAACAAAAAAAAAATATTTTTAAGAGCCTGATAAAGAACAGACTGTCTTTTTGTGAACATCTACAAAAACAGCACCACTGTGATTAAACTGAGTACTTTTAATGAAGAAAAACAGCATTAGTGTAACATTTTGTCTAAGCGCAAAGCCAAAACGGCCCAGTGAAAAAATATTTGACCTTAAACACATCTGAAAGCATTTATATCACACAGTGTCACACAATAACAGCCAATGAGAACATATTTGATCTTTAATATACATTCTGACTTAAGAGATTTCAAAATAAATAAATAAATAGGGCTGGCAACAAAACAATAACGATAATTATCGCAATTTAATTTTCCTCAATAAAACTATAACAAGAGTTTGATAAATGTTCGATATGATGTTTATGAGCCAAAGGCGGAACAAAACAGCACTACTCCTTTGAACCATTTATCCACTCGGCAGCGCAGCGCAAGCTCACTAGAGCAGATGCGTTTACTCGCTGATAAGTCTCGTCACACGACCACTAAACAGCAATGTGAGATCCAGTGTGAAGCGCTTAAATTCAGTGAAGAACACAAAGGACTCGGTAATTTAAACTAGTTTGAAGCCAGATGAAATAGTGCTGACAAACGGGAAACACTGTGCGCAACGATACAGTCAGAAGGCTTTTCAATCTACAAATCACCATCATTTACCATGTAGACATGTATTAAAGGAGTAATTGAATATAATTACTGTATTTGTGTGATTAAGCTGTAGCGTTTGTGCATTTATACTAAATGTATTTAGACTACTGTTTTTC